AAATTATTAGTGTTTTTAAAAACTAACTTTATGTGAGCATTACATGATGGCAAAAATACATTACCAATACACACTCCCACTCAAAAGTTTGGGGACAAATTTTTTTTTTTTAATGTTTTTGAATGAAGCTCAGCAAGGCTGCATTTATTTTATCAAAAATACAATAAAAACACTAATATTGTGAAAAATTGTAAAATAACTTCTATTTTATTGTTTTTTTTTTCTGTGATGTCAAAGCTGAATTTTCAGCAGACATTACTCCAGTCTTCAGTATCACATGATTCTTCAGAAATTATTATTTTATGCTGATTTGCTACTCAAGAAACATCTCTTACCATCAATGTTGAAAACAGCTGCTTAAAGGGGTCCTATTATACTTTCACTTTTTGAATTTTAGTCTGTGAGTAGTGTGTATGTTTGGGCATAAATCTTCAAACTTACAAATCTCAAAGTCCACTCCAAAGGGAGATATTTCGTTTTTAAAAAAATCCTTTTTCAAGAACTACAAGGAACGGCTCGTTTGGACTACAGTGCTGTTTTCCGGGTTTTGCGATGTCACAAAGCGGCCCATTAGAATATCATTAAAATAAATCCCGCCTACAGAAATTCGAATGGTTGGGGGGTGGGGAGGGGCGAGGTCGTAGTTAGAGCGCTTGGTTGAGTGCATCAGACAAGACGACAACGAAGAAGAAGTGCTGCTGTAGCCTCAAGTTTTCACAAGTTATTACGCATGCACCTGAATATTATGTAAATATTAGTGCTGTGTTCAAAATATCGATATGACGATGTATCGTCACAGAGATTTGACGATACGAGTATCGATACAGCTGGCCCTGTATCGATATTTTGGCACGTGTGCAGCAGTGGACTGCACTTAATTTGTTTAAAATGTTACCTTTAAAATTGAGCAGAAAAGTGCGAGGTTTCTAAAAAAGAATGAATAGAACATATATAGGCTACAAAAAGGTTTAATCTGGCCGCAGAGGAACACAACTGGGTTGCCTGACATAAAGAGACGTAATCCCCGAAACAAAGCTTCACACTTGCGCAATACAGAAATATCTGCTAAATGTGCGCTAATAGTTAGAAATGGCACTATAGTAAGCAGTGTTTAATAAACAGCTGTTTTTCTAAATTCTGCTGAGGTGAAATTCAGTGCAGTCATGTATCGTGATACGTATCGTATCGTGACTTTGCTGGTGATACACAGCCCTAGTAAATATGTACGTTATAATTATGAAAACGTTTCTTATAATAAATTGCTGACAGTACAATACTGGACAATGTTGTAATCTGCAGAATTTACACTTCTATTAGTATTTCTGAAGGAAACCGACTGTCTTCAGAAAATTGGATGTCATTTTCATTTAAACTTGCATGTAATGTCTGATAAAGCAGCGTTTGTGAGCGGAGCGCTGCTTTGTGTACAGCCGTTACCAGGGAAACCTTGAGCTCTATCACTCCAACAGCGCCTCCTGCTGGCAGAGAATGAATTTGCATATATATGCCGCCACAAATAATAAATAAATAAATTCAACTGTATAAGTTTCACTGCAATTCATGCTATAATCAGGGGTGAACATAAGTTTTTCAGCCTGGTTCTCATAAGAGAACCTGGAGATTTGGTTTGGTCCTCACACTGCACATAGTGTGACATATTGTGACCCATTAAATATAACTATAAAAAATAAATTAATAATAGTGATAATATTATTGCACTTTATTTAGTTAGTTTT